TGATTCTTGAGAACAAGTTTTACTACTAAGTCTCATGATGTAACTCTTTGTGGACAGAGGTCCTGCATGGGAAGTTAGTGCACAATAACTCTTGTTTATTTAACTCTTATATATGATATCAGTGATCACCCAAGGCACTTGACATAAGCTGCTTCAGCTATAAAAGGTTTTTGGATCCAGTAGCTCGACAAGGCCATAAGCAAAGTAGAAGTTCTCTCCTCCCTTCAGAGAAAGGTACCTCTTTCTTTGGTGGCCACTTCTTTCTACTGGAGTCTCACCCACAGGCGTTCTTTATATAGGACATTTTTTTTTTCTCATCATGTCTTGGTTTTCTAGCCAGACTAGAATGCCTTAAGGGCTGATTCTGAGGTCAGAATGCTTCTTACAGCAGTTGTTATTCTATGAGTCTGCTGTATGGACTGCTTCCCTTGTTGGAGTCTTTGCTCCTTTTTAATTCTGTCTATTTTTGTTTCCAAACAGTCCTATTAATATGATCACTTTAACTCTTGATTGTATCTATATCTTTACCACTTGTTCCTATCCATTTGATCTTAGTAACACATAAGCTGCTATTTTTATCAGCCAGCTTAATGGATTTTGGGGTCTCATAGCTAGTTGTTAGGTTGTACCCTTAGAAGTATGTCCTTATGTATGTAAGTAGGACTATACTGCTTTGCAGTTGTGTACTTCATACATTTCAGTTACAACTTTATGATCTTGGTGATTCTTCCCACTGTGTCTGCCCTCCAACCTTCTCTCCCACCCCCTTTCCTCTTCTCTTTCTTATTTTCAAGAATATTTTTTAAAATTATTTATTTGCCTTTTTTTTTTTTTTTTTTTGACAGGCAGAGTGGACAGTTAGTGAGAGAGACAAAGAGACAGAGAGAAAGGTCTTACTTTGCCATTGGTTCACCCCACAATATCCGCTGCCCGGCGCACCGTGCTGATCTGAAGCCAGGAGCCAGGTGCTTCTCCTAGTCTCCCATGTGGGTGCAGGGCCCAAGGACTTGGGCCATCCTCCACTGCCTTCCTGGGCCACAGCAGAGAGCTGGTCTGGAAGAGGAGCGACCAGGACAGAATCCAGCGCCCCGACTGGGACTAGAACCCAGCGTGCCAGCACCGCAGGCGGAGGATTAGCCTATTGAGCCGCGGTGCCGGCATTTATTTGCTTTTAGAAATATTTTTTAAGGGACCACCATTGTGGCACAGTGGTTTGAGTCCTGGCTGCTCTGTTTCTGAACCAACTCCCTGCTAACATGCCTGAGAAAGCAATGGATGATGGCTTAGATACTTGAGCCTCTGCCATGCACTAGGGAGACCCAGGTGGAGTTCCTGGATCCTGGCTTCAGCCTGCCCCAGCCGTTGTGGCCATTTTTGAGTAGTGAACCCATGGATGGAAGATATCTCTCCTTCTCTTATTCTCTCTCTGGCGCTCTGCCAAAGATAAGTTGATTTTTAGTGTGAAATATTTCTGAAATTGGATATGCAAAGGCTCTTCAAAAATTTGTGGAAAATGTGTGTTCTGAAAACACTACATGGTTTCCAATTTATTTTGCACCAAAATAAATATATTTTGATTCCATTTTCCCATGATTGTTTTGAAGTACCATGTAGATGAACAGAGCTAGGAATGTGAGCAACTTTTCTCTGGTTAAGCTATTTGTCTGTCTTAGTATGATAATGTTTGACTTCACAGTGTTTGGATTACTTTTGACTTTATTGCTTGTCATGGGATGCTGATCGTGTTTTTTCCATTTGAATCATTGATCAGTGTTGCATGATCATTCTTTGAAGACCTTTTAAAATGTTACCTTGCAACAGGCTCAGTTATTTTCTTTTTAAGTTAAAATTTTTATTTTAAAAATAGTTGTGAAATTAAAATCTTTCAATAGGTAGTTAATTTGTGCTGATACATCACTTGTCCCTTGTGAGGCAAGTTGTTCTTTTTGTACAACTAGAAGACTTACTCATGGTGGTTTATAACTTCTAATGTTCTGAGAACCCCAAAACAAAGTTTTTCTACTTTTAAGCGCAGCAGTTCACTCATTCAGTGAACTCATTATTCATTCTTTGTTTTCAAATGTCCTGATATTTTGTCAAACTGTTGCCTTAATCTCAACCACTTTGTGAAGTTGATGTTATGTCTGTGTTTTACAGATTCAGAATACAAAGTCAGGAGACCTTGTCTCACTGGGATTATGTTTTTGTACAAAAATAAATTTACCTTTTAATTCCATTTTTACATGATTTCTTTTGTTGTTGTTTAGTTTAGGTGAAAGGCAGAGAGAGGGGGAGAGAGAGAGTCCCATCCATTGGTTTACTCCCCAAATGTGCGAAACAGCTGGGGCTGGGCTGGGTCCAAAACTTGAAGCTGAGAGTTCAATCCAAATTTTCTGTGTGTGTGACAGAAACCCAGTTACTTGAATCATCACCACTATGTCTCATGGTCTACAGAAAGCTGGAGTCAGAAGCTAGAGTTGGAGCTGGGAATCCAATTCACGCACTCTGATAGGGAACATAAGCACCTAAACCAGCATCTTAACTAGGCTAAATACCTGCCTCACCATGAAGTTTTTAAAGTATCCTCATATACAAGTAGATATGCACAACTAATTTTTTTCCTTTTGAACCACCTCAAAGTAAATCGCAGATATGTTCTTTTTTAAAAAGATTTATTTATTTATTTGAAAGTCAGAGTTACAGACAGAGAGAGAGAGATCTTCAATCCACTGGTTCACTCCCCAAATGGCTGCAATGGCCAGATCTGAAACCAAGAGCCAGGAGCTTCTTCCAGGTCTCCCACATGGGTGCAGGGGCCCAAGCACTTGGGCTATCTTCTACTGCTTTCCTAGGCCATTAGCAGGGAGCTGTATTGGAAGTGGCACAGCTGGGACTGGAACCGGTGCCCATATGGGATGCTGGGAAAGCAGGCAGAGGCTTAACCTATTATGCCATAGCACTGGCCCCAGACATTATGTTCTTATACCTGAATTCTTCAGTGTTGCCTAAGGAGTTCTTTTTCTTTTTAAAAATAGGTTGTTAGATCTATGTAGGTAGGTAGTAGAGAAGGATTATGTTATTTGTTGCTGGACCTGTAACTTCAGTGAAATGTTTTCATCATTAGTAATTCTCCAGACCATTTGTTGCCTCTCTTGCCTTTGTTCTTTGGGCTCTCCCTTATAGTTTCTGACACACCTAGAAGTGTGAGAACTTATTACCTTACCTTGCATTATGAATGATGCCATTCAGAGCCTGAGAATCTTTCTGTTACTGACTTTTTTTTTTTTTCCTTTGCTCCCTGTACTCAGCTGTATGTGTCATAGGCAGACTGAGTTTCAGTAAGCTCCTAATGTGGATACTGGAAACCTCACCTGCCTGCCAAGTCCTTTGGCTGAGAGCAAAGCGAAGGCTTGGTACTTGTCACTGCTTTGCAGCACTTGAGCTAAAGGAATGCTGCATAGCTTGTTGGAAGTTGATTAGCGGCCTTGAGTAGGGTGTGCATGAGGGTGTGCATAGACAGGTGAGGGTCTTGGAGTCTGTGTGGGTGGTGTCATTCCCTCCTGACACCATGTTAATATTTATTGAGTGCATCCTTATGACAAGTACTGTGATAGGAACTTTTGGAATAGCATATCAAACACATAATTAAATCACAGTGTAATAGTCAAACAGTCCTGTTCATCATTGTTTCTGTACTGGGCAAGTTAATTTCTTCAAGCCTCACTTTACTGTTCTGTAAAATTGAACTATTAATACCTACCTGATAGGGCTCTTATGAAGATGAAATAAGGACTGTAAGCATAATTTTAACATGTAGCTGACAGTAGTCAATATTTCATTTTATAAAGGCAGGTTCAGGATACATGAGTGATACCATATAAAACAAATAGAGAGTAATAAAACATAGTGAATAATATGACAGTATAGTATATAATCAAATACTTTGTGACATGTAGATTATAAAGATTATAAATAGTCTGAGAATTTAAAGAAGGGGAAAAACAGTCTTATGCAACCATTTAATATTCCTGTGCTTCAGTTTTTCCACTGGACATGCTGTGGATAATGCTAAGTGATCTTTCAGAGAATGATTAAGATGTCACAGCATTTTTGCTTTTTTAGTGATGCATATTATGGTGGGAAGGAAGGGAGAGAGTTGAAGAACTTTTAGAAAACAAATTTAACAAATTATTCTTAATTTTTTCCCTATGCAGAAATGGCAGTCTTGTAGGAAAACTTAAATCTGGACATTAAATGATTTCTTTGGAGGGAAAATGCTTGTTTGAAATTGCTCACTGTTGCCTCACTGGCATTTTAATTAGTGGGAAAGTAAGGTTGATCAATGGATGGCCTCTGATTGTGAGCCCCTTGAATATAATCTGAGGATTAAGTGATTTGTGCCCCAAATTATCCCTCTGATTCTGTAGCAAAAATCAACAAACAAGGCAGGAAAAGATTTAATTCTCTTGGACTGCATGTTAAGGACCTGTGGTTTACTTACTGTGGGTGTTTGTCTGGGACATCTTTATTCAGAATACAATCCAGACTGCCAGTTTGTCCCTCCCACTTTTAAGCAGATTTTCATAAGTATACCCACGGAAAACACCTTTAGAAAAGTACTTTACCCAACAACACCCAGAAGAAACTGGGTTCCTAGTTTGTTTTGTGTTTTACTTGGTGAATTTTTTATTTGTTTTTTTGCTAGCCTGCTTCTGGAAAGTTTCTATTTGGTTTTTATTTCTATCCCAATCATCTTCCATTTGAAGAAATTTTCATGACATTTCTTATGAACGTAAAGCTGCTCACACTTCTTTTTTTTCCTCTTTAGCTTGAGTGTTTCTTTTTGTTGTTGTTTGGGTTTTTTTCCTTCTTTTTTGGCATTGTTTGCCAAGGTTTCAAGTTTATGTGAGAGGTGAGGCAACGTTGATCTTGGCAGAACAGTGCAAAGCCAGTAGAGTCATTAAGTGACGCAAGCTTTTGATTTTTTCTTTCTGTTAAAGCTCTCTGGCACGGCTTGCTATTCTAGTCTCAGAAGAAAGGAGGAGAAGAAACTTTCTGGAGATCTGGACGGGACGATAGAAGTTGGGGCACATTATGAAGAAGAACATCAACAAAAACTCCAGATAATCTAAACCAACTTTTTGGCTTTGTGGAATCTTTGTCAGTTGCTTAGAACTTGAATTTTTATTTCAGAGAATGTTGGGACAAGACCACAGAGAACAAGGAGAGTTATGTTGGATTCCTGCTTATCTGTGTGCCTCACCTTCTAGTTGGAAAAGTCTTCATTCCACAAGAAGCATTGTAAACAAGCCTGAAGAACAAGTCTTACTCTGATCCTGGATACCGCTGGAGTTGAGGATTACATCCAATGCACCAGGGCTTTTGGAGGCAGTTGAAGAAAAATTGAAGAAATCTATACTTGGGATTTCTCTGTTTGCATTAATCCTGTGCCATGTGACATTGTTTGGAGCAAGTGAGGGCTGGTTCTCTCATCTGGATCTGAGAGGATACCTGAGCCCCTTGAGTTTCATGTGTGATGCTTGGAAAGTTGTAAACTCAAAATCTTTCATGATAAATTCACTAAATTCTGAATTTCCTTTCCTTTGAGGACTTCGGCAGATGAAAATTCTCTGCCATAAAGAAATAAAACCTTCTCTGTGTTCTTAGGCTAAATGTGAACAATAATGTCTTGGAAGAGAAATTACTTTTCAGGGAGCCGTGGTAGTGTCCAAGGGATGTTTGCACCTCGAAGCTCAACCTCCATAGCCCCCAGCAAAGGCCTCAGCAATGAGCCGGGGCAAAACAGCTGCTTCCTCAACAGTGCCCTGCAGGTAAGGGTCATTGCTTTATTTATTTATTTATTTATTTATTTATTTATTTTTGGTAAATTTTGACTGTTAGTCTCCCATACTGTATTTCTGGGAACTCTTAAATATAATACTTTCACAGTCTTGGTTTGAACTCAGTAACCTCAGATCATTTTTAAAGTTTTATTTATGTAATTTTAGGCAGGCTGCTTTGTCTTTGAATCTCTATTACCTCATTTATAAAACGATCTGTTGATAATGATAATAGAAATAATAATAATAACAATGATTATTTACCTGTGCAAAGGAAGGTTACATGAACCAGGTGATCTTCCTACTTGTTTATTACTTTTTTCCTCATCAGTCTATAAAGTTTTCTTTTGCAACTACAGGTCTTATTACTGTATTTGCTTTTCTTTATTATAGAAAACAAAATTCTTTTCACAAGTGAAAGACTTGCAGGCATATTGTTCTTCTCTCATAATATTCAGACTCCCGGCCTGCACACTGAAGGGAGTCCAATGTTTGTCCAGTTTACCCCTCGGTGCCCTCTCATGTATTAGCTCATGATTGGTATCTTGTCAGATATACTTGAACAGAGCTAGTGGAAAGTAAATTCTCCCAAAGTGATTATTTACCCTAGATTTGCCTGTTTGCTATTGTTTGCCACCATAGTAGTCTCAGAATTTCAAAATTCCTGACTGTCCATTCAGGCTCTTAGTTTATTGGATCCATCCCCTGTGGTCTAACATTTAAGTAATTACTGTCCCTTCTATTCTGCTTTTCAGAGTAAAAGTAAATGAAATCTGCTAACCAAGGTAGTTATACTTAGATAAAGTATTAACTTGGGGCCAGTGTTTTGGCACAGAGTTAAGCTACCTGCAAGGCTGGCATCCTGTGTGAGTGCTGGTATGAGTCTCACTTGCTCCACTTCCAATCCAGCTCCCTGCTAATATGCCTGGGAAAGTAGTGAAAGATGGCCCTAGTCTTTGGGCCCCTGAGTTCACATGGGAGACCCAGATGGAGTTCCAGACTCTGGCTCAGCCTGGCCCAGCACTCACTGGCTGTTATAGTCTTTTGGGGAGTGACCCAGCCAATGGAAGGTCTCTCTCTCTCTCTCTCTCTCTCTGCTTTTAAATAAATAAATAAATCTTTAAAAACAAACAAACAAAAAAAGAAAAGACAGTGCATTTGGTATAAATAGCACTGAACTTGAGAATTATGAGATCTGGATTCTAGTTTTAGCTCTTGTGTAAACAGACTAACCTAATACAGGTAATAGTATCTGAGTTTCCTCATTTATTATACAAGAATCTTGCCAAACTTACCTATGTAATAAAAATTTTATACTCTCAAATTTCCAAGTTTTTGTTTGAAAACATTAAAAAAAATCATATGCTTTAAATCTTCAAAAAGAGTTTATGTACTTTCCTTCATCACTATCACAAATTTTATGCAGTTAACTAGGATTCGTCAGATTTTTCCCCTAGATGATGCATATGAGTTTTTTGAATGGCTTTATATACTGATAAAACTTTTCATAATTTAGAAACAGGCAATAGATATAGATGTGTATTTATCTCCTTCTTGGCCATAATCCTGTTTTTGTAATTCTGTTTCTTTCTATGTGTGGTAGCTATATTGCCAATTGAAACAATATTTGTTACTTTCCATTTTAATTTCTAGTGCCTTATACAACAAATGCTGTATGTACACACATACATATTTCTTTATCTATACTTAAAGATTGAGACATTGATGGTTTTGGAGTCTCTATTATAATCATGTTGCAAGTTGAATATAATTGTAACTATGAGCTAATATTGTAACTTAAAAAAGATTTATTTATTTATTTATTTGAAAAACAGCATGAGAGAGAGAGAGAGAGAGAATGAATCGAGATCTTCCATCCACTGATTCACTACTCAAATGCCTGTAACAACTGAGAATAGGCCAGGCTAAAGTCAGGAGCTCTCCCATGTGGATGACAGGAACACAAATACTTGAGCCATCATCTGCTTCCTCCCAGGCACATTAGCAGGAAGCTAACTTGGAAGTTCAGAGTAGTCAGGATTTGTACTAGGTAATCTCCCATATGGGATATGGGCATCCCCAGCAGCGGTTTAATCTGCTGTGCCATAGTGCCTTTCCTATAATGTTCTAACTTTTGATATGAAAGCAGTGTTTGCTACAGATAAGTTGAACTTAATACATTTGTTATAAAAAGGTGTTATTTAGGCCAGCGCCGCGGCTCACTAGGCTAATCCTCCGCCTTTCGGCGCCAGCACACCCGGTTCTAGTCCCGGTCGGGGCACCGGATTCTGTCCCGGTTGCCCCTCTTCCAGGCCAGCTCTCTGCTGTGGCCAGGGAGTGCAGTGGAGGATGGCTCAAGTGCTTGGGCCCTGCACCCCATGGGAGACCAGGAGAAGCACGTGGCTCCTGCCATTGGATAGGCGCAGTGCGCCGGCCGCGGCGGCCATTGGAGGGTGAACCAACGGCAAAGGAAGACCTTTCTCTCTGTCTCTCTCTCTCACTGTCCACTCTGCCTGTCAAAAAAACAAAAACAAAAACAAAACAAAACAAAAAAAAAACAAACAAAAAGGTGTTATTTAGAGGTGGGCATTTGTTATAGCAATCAAAATGCTGCTTAAGGTGCCTTCATTGCAAATTGGAGTGCCTGAGTTTGAGTCCTGGCTCTGTTTTAGATTCCAGCTTCCTCCTAATGTGCATCCTGGGAGGTGGCAAGTGATGGCTCAAGAACTTGTGTCCTTGAGGCTGGTACTGTGGCATAGTAGATTAAGCCTCCACCTGCAGCACCAGTGTCCCTATATGGGTAACATTTTGAGTCCCAGCTGCTCCACTTCCAGTCCAGCTCTTTGCTTAATGGCCTGGGAAAGCTGCTGAAGAGAGGAATCTTTCATCTTTTGGTTCGTTCTCCATATGTTTGCAACAACTAGAGCTGAACCAGGCCCAAGCTAGGAGTTTGGAACTCCATGTGGTTCTCTCATGTGGGTGACAGGGACACAAGTACTTGAGCCATCACCTGCTGCCTTTCAGGTTGCACATTTGCAGGAAGCTGGCATCAGAAGCAGAGCCAGAATTGTCTTAGGAGGTCACATCTGTCTCAGAAAGGTTCAAAGATTGAGGATTCCTTTTTTTTTTTTTTAATTTATTGATTTATTTGAAAGTCAGAGTTACACAGAAAGAGAAGGAGAGGCAGAGAGAGAGAAGTCTTCCATCCGCTGGTTTACTCCCCAATTGGTTGCAACGGCCAGAGCTGTGATGATCCGAAGCCAGGAGCCAGGAGACTCCTCTGAGTCTCCCACATGGGTGCAGGGGCCCAAGGACCTGGGTCATCTTCTACTGCCTTCACAGGCCACAGCAGAGAACTAGATCGGAAGTGGAGCAGCTGGGACTTGAACAGGTGCCCATATGGGATGCCTGCACTGTAGACAATGGCTTTACTTGCTATGCCACAACAGTGGCCCCCGAGGATTCTTTAAAAAAAAAAAAAAGATTTATTTTATTTATTTCAAAGACAGAGTTACACAGAGAGAAAGACAGAGACAGAGAGAGAGAGACAGAGAGAGAGAGAGGTGTCTTCCATCTACTGGTTCACTCCCCAAATGGCCCCAAATGGTTTTAAAATATTCTTGCTTTTCTTGAGTGAATCATTAAAGAGACCCTTATTCTATAGCTTGTGACCCATAAATTTCCTTTTCAGGATCACATTTTTTTTTTTTTAATCTGAAAAGCAGAGAGAGAGCAAGATGGGTAGACAGACAAGACAGACAGATATAGCTCCCATCTGCCAGTTCACTCCCCAAATGCCTGAAACAGCCAGGATTGAGTTGGGCTGAAGTTAGAAGCTAGGAACTCAATCCAGGTCTCCAATGTGGGTGGTGAGGGACCTGATTACTTGGGACATTGCCTGTTGCCTCTTAGGGTCTACGTTGGTAGGAAACTTGAAGTGGGAACCAGAGTTAAAAACTGAACTTAGGTACTCTGATTAATTAAATTTCTCAAATTGAATTGAGTTTCTCAATCTGTGTCTTCTGCCCCTCAGGGTCATATTTAATTTATGTTATACCATATTGTTGCCATGACTTTCTCTTAATGTTCAAATTAATCTTTTCCAGCATATGGACATTTGTTCCTTTGTTAGATATCTTGCCGTGTGTGTGTGTGTGTGTGTGTGTGTGTGTGTGTTTTAATATACTGGAATGAGCTTTCTGGGGCTACTGTTGCAGTGCAATAGATTAAGCCTCCACTGGCATCATCAGGCAGGTACAATCCTAGCTACCCTGCTTCTGATCCAGCTTTGTGCTGATGAACTTGGGGAGCTAGTAGAAGATGACTCAAGTACTTGGGCCCCTTTCTCCTGAATGGAAGACCAGGGTAGAATTCCTGACACCTGGCTCCTGGCTTTGGTATGGCCCAGACCTGGCTGTTGTACCCATTTGGGGAATGAACGAGCAGATGGAAGCTCTCTATCTCTCTATCCTTCTCTCTGTCACTCTTGCCTTTTAAGGAAATAAATAACTAAATCAATCTTTAAAAAAAGAAGTAGCTTTCTCTTAGAAATAAATCTTTTGCAGCCATTACCTATGTTTGCCCTAGCTCTTCAATTTAAAGTTAATTGTGCTTCTTTGTAGATTAATGATGTATTTTACCATTTTCATCAGGTTTTGTGGCACTTGGACATCTTCCGACGTAGTTTTAGGCAGCTCACAACTCACAAGTGCATGGGAGATTCCTGTATCTTTTGTGCTCTCAAGGTAAGTACTTGATGGGCTGGCGTGTGGTGCAGTGGATTAAGCCACTGCACCAGTATTCCATTTATGAGGACTGGTTTGAGTCCTGGCCGCCCCACTTCATGGCAGAAGACAGACCAAGTACATGGGCCCCTGCCACTCATGTGGGACACCAGGATGGAGTTTCTGGCTTATGGCTTCTGCCTGGCCCAGACTTGACTGTTATAGCCTTTGGGGAGTAAACCAGCAGATGGAAGGTCTTTCTGTCTCTCTCTCTCTCTCTGACGCTTTGCTTTTCAAATCAATCTTTTGAAAGATTTATTTATTTATTTGAAAGTCAGAGTAACACAGGGAGAAGGAGAGGCAGAGAGAGAGAGAGGTCCTTCATCTACTGGTTTACTTTGCAATCAGCTGTAATGGCCGGAGCTGCGCCAATCCGAAGCCAGTAGCCAGGAGCCTCCTCCAGGCCTCCCATGTGGGTACAGGGACCCTAGAACCTGGGCCATCTTCCACTGCTCTCCCAGGCCATAGCAGAGAGCTGGATTGAAAGTGGAGCAGCAAGGGCTTGAACCGGCACCCATATGGGATGCTGGCACTGCAGGCAGCGGCTTCACCTGCTGCACCATAGCACTGGCCCCACCAATTTTTTTAAATGGCAGTTATTTCAAATTATTTCTTCTTACTAATATGAGAGTTCTAGATGGTCAATATTGAAGATATTTGCTTAATCATTGCAATTCTAAATTTACTCCTGAATTATCTGCCTGTGGTTTAGTACCAAAATGGATATGATTTACTTTGCTTGCTTGAAAGAATTACTATATGGCTCAGATTGATGGTTTCTTTTCCTAAACCTTTTAATAGCTGATTTAATGTGATAGGATTCTTACTCAAGTGTGCTTCTATTTTATTTACCTGAAAAGCTAATTTGTCGTTTTGAAAGAATAAACAATTCATTATTTTAATGAAGTTATTATTTGTAAAAACTAGGTTTTGTAAGAAACTCTTTTTATTGAGTAATAACAGTATGAAAAGATTTCCCACTTCTCCATTTTTCACATCACCGTATTTCATATTATTTTTTTTTAATATTTTATTTATTTATTTGAGAGGTAGAGTTACAAACAGTGAGAGGGGGAGACAGAGAGAAAGGTCTTCCATCCATTGCTTCACTCCCCAAATTGCCACAATGACTGGAGCTGCGCCAATCTGAAGCCAGGAGCCAGGAGCTTCTTCCCAGTCTCCCATGCGGGTGCAGGGGCCCAAGGACCTTGGCCATGTTCCACTGCTTTCTCAGGCCATAGCAGAGAGCTGGACTGGAAGAGGAGCAGCCGGGATTAGAACTGGCGCCCATATGAGATGCCGGCGCCACAGGCAGAGGATTAACCTACTGCGCCACGGGTGTCGGCCCCCATATTTCATATTATTTTTAAAAAGGTTTATTTATTTGAAAGTCAGACTTACAGAGAGAGAGAAATATCCTCCATCTGCTGGTTCACTCCCCAGATGGATGCAGCTGCCAGGGCTGGGCAAGACCAAAGCCAGGGGCTTCATCTGGGCCTCCCAGGTGGACGGTGGAGGCCCAAGAACTTGGGCCATCTTTTGCTACTTTTCTTGGGCCATAAGTAGGGAGCTGGATCTCAAGTGAAAAAGCTGGAACTTGAACCTGCACACTGTTTGTGATGCTGTTGTTGCAGTTGGTGGTTTTACCTGCTATGCTATGATGCTGGCCCCTCACGTTTAATGTTTTTAAAACAAGATCTCAGGCAGGAAGAGAGAGAGAGAGCACGTGCTCCCACATGCTAGTTCATTCCCTAAATACTTGCCAAGACGAGAACGGAGACGGACCAAAGCTGGGAGCTGGGAACTCAATCCAGATCTCCCACATGGGTGGCAGGAACCATATCGAGACATTTCTGACTCAGAGATTTTTAGGTATGCTGCAAAAGAGAGAGAACTGTGATGTGTGAAGGACTGCATCGCTGTGACTTGTTTTTGCAATTTGTAGCTTTCCCTTGTTTCCTTGGTCCAAATATATGATGGTTAATTTGTGTTTAGATGGATCTGCTTCATTTAAATGAGTTCTGAGTAAACTTTCGAAGTCATGTTTTAATCTCATGAAGTCTGAATTTTTGGTCTTTCATGAAGATGCTTGGATGTAATCATTATATTTTTAATTTAGTTGCTTTTACATCTATTTTTTGGAAGATTTATTTACTTATTTTTTAAAGATTTATTTATTTGTTTGAAAGTCAGACTTGCACAGAGAGGAAGGAGAGGCAGAGAGAGAAAGAGATCTTCCATCTGCTGGTTCACTCCCCAGTTGTCCATAATGGCCAGAGCTATGCCCATGAGAAGCCAGGAGCCAGGAGCTTCTTCCGGGTCTCCCACGCGGGTGCAGGGGCCCAAGGACTGGGGCCATCTACTGCTTTCCCAGGCCGTAGCAAAGAGCTGGATTGGAAGTGGAACAGCTGGGTCTCGAACTGGCGCCTATATGGGATGCTGGCACTTCAGGCCAGGGTGTCAACCCACTGCACCACAGCACTGGCCCAGATTTATTTATTTTGAAAGTAGAGTTTCAAAGAGAGAGGGAGAAACAGAGAGGTCTTCAGTCTTCTTGTTCACTCCCCAGATGGCTGCAACAGTCATGGCTGGGCGAAACCAAAGCCAGGAGCCAGGAACATTGTCCAGGTCTCTCTCATGTGGATGGCAAGGGCCCAAATACTTGGGACCATCTTCTGCTGCTTTTCCCCGAGCATTGGCAAGGATCTGGATTGGAAGTGGAGAAGCTAGGACTTGAACTAATATCCACATGGATGCCAGTGTTACAGGCTGAGGCTCTACCCACTATACCACAACACTGGTCCCTTGAAAATTCTTTGGGAACTGCATTGTGGTATAGAGGGTTAAGCCACTGCCCATGACGCCAGCATGCTCTATGGGTGCCATTTTGAGTTTTGGTTGCTTCACTTCTGATCCAGCTTCCTGCTGATGTGCCTGGGAAAGCAGCAGAGTATAGCCAAAGTGATTGGGCTCCTGCTCCCATGTGGGAGACCTGGAAGAAGTACCTGGCTCCTGGCTTCAGTCTGGCCCAGTCCTGGCCATTGCAGCCATTTGGGGAGAGAACCAGTAGTTGGAAGATCTCCTTCTGTCTCTCCTCTCTCTGTCACTCTACCTTTCACATAAATAGTAAATCTTTAAAAAAAAAAAAAAAAAAGAAAGATCTTTTGGCCAGTATGAATTTGAAATTTTAAGTCCATGGTAGACATATCTTTAGGAGATAAGTGAGTCTTGTGAACTTTTTGTTACTTGGTTCACAAGCATCTTTGTTTGGAATCATTGTAACTTGTAGCAAAACAGAATAAATTCTTGATTAACTGAGGAGTTTAAGTGTGAATTTTAAATTACAAGTTGATTGTAACATTTTTTACTTTGCTCATTTAAACAGAAGTTCATTCAAAGGAACATTTGACCTGATTTTCTGAATGGTACATGGATTTTAAGTTTAGGTAAATAAGAAATAACCCAGCGCTTGGTTAACAAGTGCAAGGGAGGTCTGATTCATGACATTAAGACAATGCTAGGGAGATACTTAGCTGGAGAGATGTAAATCCTGGAGAAATCCCTGGTAGAGGAATCTACTATAAGTAGAAACTTACCTGTACCATGAAGGGATAATGGAACTTATATGACATCTACCATGCCTTTGGTCAGGGCTATGCTGTACTCTTCATTGACCTAGATGAGATTCTGGACAATTGGTTGCCACAAGGTTATGTTTCATTTTCCAGAGGGACAAATTGTTATTTTAATGTAAATCAGTATCATTATAAGCCTGGGAGATAAAGAAAACCAACAACCAGACTGCACAGGACACACTCTGAGACACCCAAGTGCAAAAGGAAAGTTATTCTATTAACTTGTTGGAGGAAATATCTTGAAACCCCTTCAGAGAAGAATTTGCTTGTGATGGAAGGTAAATGGGTTTAGGAGATCAAAGGCTGTTATTTTGGATCTTCATAACTCTGGGAATGTGCTGGAATTCTGGTACTTTCCTGATTACATCACGGCCTGGTCTAAGAGATTTATTTTCCTACCCTGCCTCTTTTGTTATGTTGTAAGGGTATAAAAGGTTTAACTTTTTCCCCCCTAAAGAGCTTTTCAATCTCTCAGTGCTACATAAACATTAAATAATTAGGCTGTAGTTTACATACGCTTCACATTTTAGATTGCAATGTTTGCATTCTTTTAATTATTATATAATAAATTTGAAAAGTATAAATAGACTTATAATACAGATGGATTATTTGAAAGTATGGATGAGCTGAACTTGATTCTAGTAGCTGAGAAATTTAAATTGTTAGAATAGTAGTTTGAAGAAATAGTCCTTCATCCAGGCTAGAGAGCTTCATTTCTTGAAAGTATGTGAAGGAGTGAATCATCATAACTTGATTCTACCTGAAGGATGTTGCTGTTATTTCCCACTTTAAAAATATTTTTATAGAATATGAAAATAATATATTGTATCTTAGAACTGGATTTTTTTTTTTTTTTTTTTTACAGGCAGAGTGGACAGTGAGAGAGAGACAGAGAGAAAGGTCTTCCTTTGCCGCTGGTTCACCCTCCAATGGCCTTGGCGGCTGGCGCACCGCGCTGATCTGATGGCAGGAGCCAGGTGCTTATCCTGGTCTCCCATGGGGTGCAGGGCCCAAGCACTTGGGCCATCCTCCACATCCATCCCGGGCCACAGCAGAGAGCTAGACTGGAAGGGGAGCAATCGGGACAGAATCCGGCGCCCTGACCGGGACTAGAACCAGTGTGCTGGTGCCACAAGGCGGAGGATTAGCCTATTGAGCCACGGCGCCGGCCTTTTGAACTGGATTTTAACCAGTATACTAAGATAAGAAAAACAAAGGAAAAATACAAAGATTAGAAAGGAAGGAACAAAGTTCTGGTTATTTGTAGATGATGTTATTGACTATACTGTTTATTTGAAAGGCAGAGTTACAGAGAGGCAGAGGCAG